GGGGGGAGCCGTTAACAGCCGCGGCGGCCGTGTCCGGGGGCGGTATGAGTGGCGGCCGGGGCCCAGCAGTGGGGCCGGGGCTGCTGGCGGCGCTGAGCTGCCTGTGGGCGGCTGGCCAGGCCCAGGTGAGCACCGGGGCCGGGGCCAGGGCCAGGGCCAGGCCGGGGGCTGCGGGGCGCTTCCCTTGGGCGGTGCTGTGAGGAGCGTGTGTGTGTTGGTGTATATATAGGGTCTATACAGATATGTAATACTGACCTATGCGCCTTATTTACTCCAATCCCAGCTTCTAGTAATTAGAGTCTCTGGAAATTGTTATAGGCAGACAAGCTTCTTTGGGTAAATGGGTATTTACCCAAAGAACCTTGTTTGCCCACTTATTTCTGGGTGAATGGGCAGACAACGTTGTTTCTTCCTTTTCCTCTCACCTACCCTATTTGAGTATCTCTTATTAGGGAGATAGTTTCCCATGCAACCAAAAACCCAGCATATCTCTTATTAGACCATCTCATTTTCCAGGTATAGACTCATAACTGTTGGAGGTTTGTCTTGAGTATTTCCCTCTTCCACTGCTACAGCAGGGAAAACTAAATGGGGGAGGCAGGTAGTTGCTTTGCCTTCTGCTTCCCCCTCCAGCTTCTTCCCCTTGCTGGCAGACCCTGCTGTCCCTGAGCACGCAGAAATGAGGAGGAAATGTGAACATGCTGACCTCAAAATAGACGTGTCTGTATTAAGTTGCAGATAGACCAATTACTAGAAATACCCATAGACTTAGTTCACCCAGAGTTGTTGCAGCTAACCTTTTTTATTTTTTTTAAATGCTGCAAGTTTTAGCACTGCTACATTGTGAACATGCTTTTAAGCAGCATATATAATACTTATATATAGTATAAACCCTGTTTTTATTACAAAAGTATCCAAATTCCATTCAGCTCTTTCTTCCTTTTCCCCTCACCTACCCCATCTAAAAAAATGTAGCTATGTAGCCTGTCCATGAAATCACAAACTTTTCAATTTATTTCCTCAATTCTTTTAGGTATTCCACATTTTACATCTTACTGGTACGTGAACCTTTTCCCATCCCCTCTATTTGTATAGTTCAGTTTCCCATGCAACTTTGCTCCCACCCCCCACCTTCTTTTTTTGCATCTTTCTTTAGGTTCTGTCTACAAATATCAGGACCCATTTCTTTCTCCAAGGCTTTATTCACTTCTTCCTCCCCTCTCTCTTCTTGGTCCCTCCATAAATATATTTTCACCCTGCATAGTCTCAGCTTTAAGCACTGTTTGACAGAGAACTGCATACTTGCAGCATATAAGAGGAAAACTGGTGTTTCTGCTTCTCTTTGTCCAGTGTTTTGATGTCAGGGTAAGGTCAGTTCATGAGAAACTTCCTTACTATGTTTCCTCTTGTGAAGATGACTCTTCCCTGGTCTTCCTCTTGTATCCTGCAAGCTATTGTGCATGATTTATTCTGTTTAGGATCTTTGACTTGTCTGTGGTTCCTGCTTGCCCCTTACCTGTGTTTGTTGTATACAGTTGAAATCACCTACTAATTTTCAGGGTGTTCTGCCAGTCATGCTGATTCCTAGTTTTTTCAGGAAACTCCACACCTCATCTCAGTCCACTGATTTGTGATCTCAAATAACTTCTTGTTCATTTTGCACATTATCTATAGCATTAGCACCCACCCACACTTCTTTTTTTT